AAAAGAAAGAAAAACAAAACCTTTGTAATAATTTTATATAGTTGAGCAAAACAAATTTCCACATTGGCTGTATCCAAAAATGGGTGTCTCATTCAGCAACATGAGTCCATTCCCTCTCTCAGGAGGTGGGTAGCATATTTCATCATCAGTTCCTTGGAATCTTATTTGATCATTACATCGATCAATTTTGAAGTCTTTTATAGTCATTTATCTTTATAATATTGCCATACAAATAATTTTCTTGATTCTCCTCACTTTACTCTGAATCAGTTCGTATAAGTCTTCCCAGGTTTCTCTGAAATGATCCCTTTTGTTATTTCTTAAGAGTACAATAATATTCTGTGATATTCATATACCATATCTCGTTCATTCAGTCCTCAGTTGATGGGAACCCCTTGCTTTCCAGATCTTTGCTATAACAAAGGGAGTTGCTATGAATGAATGAATGGATGGATGGAAAACATTTATTAAGCACTTACTAGGTGCAAAGCACTGGAGATAGAAGTAGAAAAACAAGACTGTCTCTACTCTCAGGGTGCTCATATTTAATGAACTATACATATTTTGAATTAATGAGACTTTTTCCTGTTTTTTTGATTTCTTTGGGGTATAGGCCTAGTAGTGGTATTACTGGATCAAAAGGTATGCAGAGTTTAGTGACTTTTTGTGCATGACATTGATTTTCAGAATGGCTAGACCAGTGTATAGCTTCATCAGTAGTGCAAAAATGTACCTGTTTTTGTAGCCCCTCCACCAACTGTCATTTTTTTGGTCATCTTTGCCAATCATATGTGTTCCTGAAGTGGAACCTGAGTTGTTTTAATTTGATTTTTAATTATTAATGATTTAGAGCATCTTTTCATTTGTATTTTTTCTTTTGAAAACTACTTATCATATCCTTTCATAATTTATCTGTTAGAGAGTGGCTTTTGTCCTTAAAAATTTGAATTAGTTCTTTATGTGTCCTATATATGAGATCTTTATCAGAGAAATTTTCTGCAAAGATTATTTTTTTCTTTCTCAGTAATTGTTTCTCCCCAGGTCAACTTTCCATCAAGGTGTCTAGATCCATTCCTTAACTATGTCTTGTGGGTTTATGGGAGATATTCCCAAAATAACTAGATGGACCTCTTTCTTGGTTTGATTGGTCATATAGTAGGTTGGAAGAAGACAAGGCAGAGTAGAGACTCATTAAAGATAGAAGCTTTAGAAGGAGGAATAAAGAACTAGGTGCTCATGTCAGAGTTTTGCTTTCATCTGCTGACTTTTACTACACTTCCTTTCAATTGATGTTTCAACACAATGGCAGTACCTTTCCCTCCTGCCATAGCCAGGTCCCTCCCTATGCTGGTCCATCCAAAGCCCATCTGGGCTGCTTGAGTTCTCACAAGACTTAGATGAGATGGGAGTTACCAACTGTTTTCCATCCAGTGAGATGAAGGACCCCTAGGCCTAATGATTTGCCTTGCCTCTCTTACTTGGAGATCCCCACCACCGTCTTCTAACCTGTTGATGGAGCTAAGAACTTTTGGATCTTGCCATCTACCACATCGCTGTACCCGGAGGACTTCCAGGCCTTTCTATAAACCCTACAGTTGAGCTTTTTTTTTTTTATGTGACACCTCGCCTAATTAGTGTGTAATTTCCTGGAGAGCAGGGATCATCTTTCTTTTTCTGTTTCCATCCACAGCACCTAGCCCAGTGCTTGGCATATAGTAAGCCCTTAATAGCTTCTTTTTATTCATTCTTTATAAGTATAAGACTTCTTTGTAGTGCAGGTATAAAAGGATTCTATGCCTGCTGCCAAGATTTACATTTTTATTTGTTTTTATTTTATTAGGGAGGTTACTTGAAGTCTAGAGTTACTCATTCACCCTATAGTGTTCTTATTTTCATATCAGGAGTTATTTGCTTTTTACTCCAGTCTTCAGCAATGTAAATTGTGTCCATCAGTGGAATGCCCATTTATTCTTCAAATTCTTTTAAAACAAGTTATTGGTGCTTAAAAAACCCATTTTGGTCACTTCCTAATGAAGTCATAGAAAGTACAGTTAAACCACAGAAAAGCAAAACATTGGCTGTGTCAATGTTTGTCTCGTTTTCCACATAAACTGTGCTAACTCTGAGAGTTACTGTTTCTCTTAAGTCATTACTGAGACTTGCATTGATAAGAATTTTGAAGTGTTTTATGTCTTTATTTACCTTATTGTGGTCATTGTATAAACTGTTCTCTTGCTTCTTTCTGCTTATTTTGCTTGACATCAGTTTATACAAATATTTCTGTTTCTCTGAATTATTCGTGTTCATTTTTATGATATAGTAATGTTATATTAGATTCATATACCATATTTTGGTTCACATCATTCTTTAATCAGAAGGTAACCACTTTGTTTCCAGTTATTTTGCTACCGCAAAAAATACTACTATGAATATTTTGGTTTATTCAGACTTTTCTCACTGTCTTTGACCTCCTTGGAGTACATGCCTCATATTGCTGTCTCTGGATCAAAGGTCAGATACAGTTTTGTGACTTTTCTACTATAATTCTGTATTATTTTGCAGGTTAGATTCATGTACAGCTCCACCAATGATGTATGAGTGTTCCTTTCTTCTCATGGCCCCTCCAACATGTAATATATTCCTTTTTTTTTTCCCATGCCTATCTGATGAGTGCAAAATGAAACCTCAGAGTTGTTTTTTTTTAAAAGCTTTATTTATTTATTTATTTATTTTTATTTATTATTTTTATTTATCAACAGTCACTTCCATAAGCTTTTGAGTTTTAAATTTTTCTCCCCCTCCCTCCCTGCCTTCCTCCCCAAGACGGCACGCAATTTGATATAGGCTATACATATACATTCCTATTAAACATATTTTCACATTAGTGATGTTGTAAGGAAGAATTAGGAACCACCAGAAAGAGGAAACAAAACACAACAGAAGAAAAAAAAATAGCAAATAGTATGCTTCGATCTCCATTCAAACTCCATAGTTCTTTCTTTGGATGTGGATAGCATTTTCCATCATGAGGCATTTGGAGATCTCTTAGATCCTTGTATTGCTGAGAAAGGTTAAGTCTATCAATATTAGTCATCGCACAACATGGCTGTTACTGTGTACAATGTTCTCCTGGTTCTGCTCACTTCCCTCAGCATCAGACCATACAAATCTTTCCAGGTTTTTCTCAGAGTTGTTTTAATTTTCATCCCTTATTATTAGTGTTTTTGTTCTCATTTTTTAAAAACAGGTTAACTTTCAAATAATTATAGGACTTGTTTAATTTGTTATGTTTTTTCTATTTTTTTCATATTGTATATTTATTATGTTTCATATTTGTAGGTTTCAGAAGCTTTTATATTTAATTTTCTGTTCTTCCATAGATTACGACTTCTTTTGCAATCTGCTGTGGATGCTAACATGAATACTCTACGTGTTTGGGGAGGGGGTATTTACGAGCAAGATGCATTCTATGACATCTGTGATGAACTGGGACTAATGGTACATACATATTTTGTGTTTGTCCTTTTGTATTTGATTTGACCAATTTTCTATTCATAAGATATTTGCATGTTGCAAATTTTCTCTTGGATGTTGTGATTTAATTTAGTTGTTCTTATAAAGCTTTTATGTTTAAATGTGATCAGAAAAAGTTTATGCTATTAGAAAAGCATTTCAGAAATCACTCAATCCCAAAGTATTTACTGAATACCTACTTTGTAGTCAGGACGGGCATGGGTAGAAAATAAATAGGCATAAGATATAATACCTCACCCACAAGGAGATTATAGTTTAGTTGGAATGGCAAGTTACATATGCCCAAGTCCACAAGTGAATGGTTTTGTCTTGGGCCTTTAGGGCAACCGAGGTGAACTTGACCAAATGTTCTCCGTCAGCAGGACTTCTGGATGCCCAGCATTAAACTAGGATGTTTCTTCTTTCCCTTTCTTTCCCCTTTACTAATGTATCTTTACTAAGAAAGCATTAAAATGTAAGGGCCATCCAGCTAGTTGATGTCAATGTTCTTGAAATGCATCTGTTTAAAGATGCCATCATTTAGTCTTTTATCCTTGATACATGACCATCCTAGCTCCTTTACTGGTTCTTCATAGGTTTGAGCATATTTTTATGCCATGTCCCCCACAATCCACATTGATTTACGGTCTACTTTAAACCCAGAATTCAATTTTCCATTGCTATTTTGGTTACCTGCAAAGTATCTAAGTAAGTAAATAAAATTAGGGAGTAGGATGGGATAAATTAGATGGAGTGGGACATAAGGGATTTGAGAAGGAAGAGACCACTGTGGCTTGGAGCAGTTATAGGAAGAACTCCTGGAAAGAGGATGTGACACAGGTCTAGACCCCCGGAGATTGCACGCCTTGGTCAAAGTCACAAAGGTAATGTCTGGGGTGGCACTGGAACCCAGGTCCCCTGAGTTTAGACCTAGACCCAGGCAGCCTGGGCCAAGCTGTGTAAAAGCTCAAAGGTTTGTCATTTATCCAGTAGATTAGAACTGTGGAGCCATAGGATATGGTGAGCTTGTTTTTTAATTAAATTAATTAAAATGAGTGGACCTTTAATTAAAACAAGCTGGCCTTTTGGCAGTGACAGAGGAGAAATTAGGAGGAGAGGAAGAGTTTTGACCTTCCTGAGAAGCCCAGAGAACGGGGAATGACTCTTAAATATTTTTTCCCTCAAGTCAGGGCAAACATTTGAGTTGTTTGAACAACAAAAAAGTATAATTGAGAGCAGCAAGGAGTAGTTCAAATGAAATTCAGTAAACATTAGTTTTACTCCAGTTCTGTGTGAGGCTGTCCAATCGTACTAGACCATGGATAGAGAACTGGTCTCAGAATCGTTCAAATCCTGTCTCAGACATCTACTGCTGTATGATCCAGAGGGGGTCAGTTCCCTTTTGAACAGTCGTCTAAGAAAAACAACCCTCTTTCTGTGTTGGTAGAGAGCCAGGATGCAACCCTATCCAGGGGTGGGGTTTCAAGGCCACATCTGGCCTTCTAGGTCCTTGGGTGCGGCCTTTTGACTGAATCCAAGTTTACAGAACACATCCTTTTATTAAGGGGATTTGTTCTGTGAAGTTTGGATTCAGTCAGAGGGCCACAGATTCCCCACCCCTGTTAGACCAATGAAATTATGGCTCTGCCCTCTCAAGGGCAGGGGAGAAAAAAAAGAAAAGAAAGAAAGAAAAGAAAAACTACACTGTTGGCTGGTGGGAGCACAAGAATAGAAAATGACACTGGCCCTTCACAGAGTCTACAATCAAATAAGGAGGCCATGACATATCTATAAATAAGCATGAGCTAAGCTAGAAGGGGACAAACACAGGAGGTCTCCAGAATGCTGTAAGAAAATCTGGGGGTTCACTATGAGCTGGGAAGTCAGGAAAGCTTTTTTTTAAGCCTCTTTTAAAAATAAATGCTTATTGATATATTTTGTTTTTACATTGCCTCTATTTCCTCCTTTATCCCTCTCTCTCCCCTTTGTCCTTAGTCTCCCAGAGAGCTATCCCATGTAATAAAGATTTTTCTTTTTTTTTTTTTTAAAGAAAAAAGGTAGAAGAGGGGAAAAAATGAGCAAAAATGATTAATGCATCAAAAAAAACCCTGTCATTATATGCAATGTTCTACTCTCCCCCTCTCCAAGGAATTGGAAGGGGTGTCTTCTCATGTCTTTGATTTGCAAGGAAGTCTTTATGGAGAAAGTCTTATCTGAACTGGACCTTGATTGGAGGGATGGATTGTGACAGGTGGGGTTGAGGAGGGAATGTGTTCTAGGCATAGAAGACATGCCCAAATGAGTGCATGGGGGAGGGCTGAGTACATTACAGGATTGGTAGTAGGCAGCTAGTAGGCAGAGGGCCTCTAACATTTTTTTATTAGAATATGCCATGGTTTAAATGTACACATTTGTTACTTCTCTGAAGGACGGCTTGAGAGGAGAGAGACTGGAAGCAAAGAGACCAGCTAGAGGATTATTAGAATTCATTCATTCAGAGACATATTATGCACCTGGCTCTATGCTAGAGGCTTAGGTTACAGAGAGACAAAACAACAACAATCCTTACCCTCCAAGGGTTTACATTTTGTCAGGCGAAATAGGTTCACATAAGTAAATGCAAAGTAATTAGAAGGAAATTTAAGAAAATAAGGAGACACAGGAGAAATCAAGAAGAGCTCGTGCAGGGGGTGTTTGGGACGCTATCTGAGCTTTGAAGGAAGTAAGGGATTTTAAGAAGTGGAGGCAGGGAGGGAGTGCATGCCTGGCTTGAGAAAGAGAGAGCCTGTGCCCTGAGATCTTGGGCGATGAAATGTCACGGATGAAGAGCAGAAGGCCAGGAAAGATCAAGGATTTAATCCTCTTTAAGTGTTTTATTCACATGGGTTAGGCTTTATTATGATTTTCTTTTTAACATGCACATATATGAAAAGGATGAAGCAATAAAGCCAAATATTCGTTAAGCAGTTATTGCATGCAGATTATCGTGCTAGGTTTGGGGGAAGAGACAAAGTTTAGATAGGAGGTAGTCCTGGCCCTCAAGAATTTCACCTTCTAGTAGTGATAAGGATACTACCAGGTAGCTCCAATATACTTGTCATGTAATATTGTGTAAGAAGGAGTGAAATGCTCAAACACCATATGCAATATGAGGAGGAAAGGTTATTTACCAAGCTGGGTGTGGGGTGTTAGGGGTCAGGGAAAGCTTTTTAGAGGAAGCGGCATTTGAATTGGGCTTTAAAAATTTGAGTAGTCTGGTAAGGAGAAGGAGGGGAGCGCATTCTACCAGCTAGTCATCAAACAAGGGCAGACTCAGTGCCTAGGTGCTGGAGATATGACGACAAAAATGAAATTGTTCCTCCCCTCGGAGAGTTTATATGCTATCAGGGGAGGTGACAAGGATGTTTATAAAGAGATACAGAATACAAGGTAAAACAGTTGCAGATTTCAGGAGAAGATTCATGTGACATTTTCCAAAGGAAATGAGATTCTAGGAGGTGGAAATCAGGAGGGAGGGCATTTTGGTTATGAGGAGAGAAGGGGTGCTGAGATAGAGGGGCATGTGAGTAAGGGCCAGAGCTAGTCGGCTAGAATACAGGGTACAGGAAGGTCAGTACTGTATAACCATGTTGGAAAGGTAGGTTGGAAAGGCCAGTTGTGAAGGGCTTTAAAAGCCAAACAGAAGTTTATATTTGATCCTAAAGGCAATAGAAGGCCTTTGGAATTTTGAGTAGAGGGGAGGGAGTAAGCATTTATTCTGTCTAGAGTGACATGGCCAGACCTGAACTTTAGGAAAACAGCTGTGCTGAGGCTGGGTTGGGGTGGGGAAGGACATGTAAGAGTGGTACCAGCTAGTCAAGAGGGAATGGGGGAAGGACTGGAGGATCAGCACAGCGCATGTTTGGAGAAGCCTTGTTGGCACATAGAGGACTAATGAGGGAAAATCATCAACTTAATCATTGTTTAGGGTAGTTGTTATTGAGCCAAGATGGCAAACCATTGGGTAAAGTGAGCCGGGGGAAAGAGTGGGGAAATGTCAAGTAATCGGGATCAGAGGTCACAGTAAGGGCCAAGACTTGATCTGATGTGAATGAGGGAAGGCAGAGGTGGAAGTTTGGGCAGAAAGTGGAATGTCAGAGATGTAGATCTTGGAGGAGGTATACGTGCCACGGTTGGTGAGGTCTGAGATGTGATTGTACTAGTGTGTGAATTGAAGAGTGATGATGAAAGGAGGTTGTTGGAACAGAGGATGTTGAGTAGTTGTGTGGGGAGGTCGTAAAAGAAATATTTTGAAGGCCTGAAGTTCAGTGGCAAAGCATGTGGTAGAAAAGACCATAGACCAGGCACTGGAAAAAATGTGAGCTTGACAGTATCAGTAGATGACAGTAACTATCTTAGGGAGAAGTGGCAAGTACTGGTTGCATATGGTTTGAAATATAAAATGTTATTGAGGGATGATGGTGAAGGTATAGAAGGAAATGAGGAGGATATTCACCCTTCCCCCTGAACCTTTGAGTGAGGAGTGAGGTGAAATGAGGGAATGATTGGTCGTCTTGGAGAGCGTTATGAGAGATTTGGTGTCCTCAGGGGAGAGCAGATGAACTGATTTTTTTTTTTATATATCAACTTTAAAGATGTCCAAAAGGACAGAATTAATGAAGGAATTTTGTACTGAACATTAGTAAAATTTGATATTGTTAAATTTGTTGGACCAGATTTATTCATTGGGATTTTAAAAATCTCTAAAGTAATTTTCCATTTGTGTGGGGCTTGACTGAGAGTCTGTTTTATTTATTTATTTATTTCAGCTAGAGTAGAACAGTCATAAACATATAAAATGTTCAAGTAGACATGGACTTGCGTATTTTGTTTAACCTATGATTTGAATTTTGCTTTGTTTTTGTGCCATAAAAACTTCTCCCATTTTAAGCAAAGAAATGAAATAACTTTTGTTTCTGCAAGACCTTGACCCTTAATATCTCAGAGAGGTCACATGTTTCTGTATCAGCTTCCTTGTGAGAGTAGAAGATGAGGAAGCAAAGAATCAGATAAGAAGGAGGGAGCTTTCTTCTTTTCCCCACCTAGTACTTGCTTTCCTGAATCCTTCTTTTCCTTGTTTTTCTTTATTCTTTCCATTTTCTTTTCTTCTATTTTTGGGATTCCTGCTTCAGTTTCAAGCAATTCCAGATTGAGTTTTTAACTATTAGCTTGGTCTTAATGAGCTCCTGGAGGGCTGGGACTGTAGTTGATTTCTTTTTCAACTCGTAAAATAATAGCTTCCACAAAGCCCAACTATTGTCTTAGAGGGAGGGGGCAGGAGAAAACAAATGAGGAAATACCAGGCAGAGTAGTATGCAGGGTAGTGTATTCTGTGTGCCCTGGGACTGCCATGATGGCAGTGAAAGCCTGACAGAAACACTGAGATGCTGGCCAGTTGAACTCTAGTAGAGCTGCAGTGGTACCCTGTGTAGTAAGATGAAATTCCTTCTATGAATTTAAGAAATATTATAGACAGGGTACCATAGCATTGCAGGCTGGTCCTACTCAGAGCTGTCATGGTGGTCAGCTTGACACAGAGGACAGCGGAATGAATAGTGATCCATTATGCACTGATACCACAAGAAAACAAGATACAGATATATCAGAATGAATCAGAAATGACAAAACCCCACCTGCTGGGCAATGATAAAAAAATAATAACTTCATCTCTATGCCTGGAAGTAAGAGCTGAAATCAAGAAGATAGTAAATTCTGCAAAGGGAAGGTTGAAGACCCTGAGGTCATTGGAAATCTTCACTTAATGCAGACTGCAGGAATTATATCTGATAATGAAGTGAGTGCTAAAAAAACAGCGTTGATATCTCAAATGATTTGAAAAGGAGAGGGGCATACTTAAGACTAGAATTCTAAAAAGCCCTTTTTGAATTTGGCAGAATGAATGCAACTAGTAGAACCTGAATGCCAGAACAGTAACAAAAGCCAAACATATCTGCCATAGTCATCGTGATTGAATGTGTCGTCCTCAGCTTTTTGGTAGAATACGTAAAAACATTCCAGAACCCATCTATATTCCAAATGTATGGCAGCCATTGCCATGGCAGGAACCGCGGGAGTCAAGCTCGACCTGTGAAGGAATAGCATGAGGATAGGCATGAGAGGGTATTGAAGATGTGTGGGAAGTCATACTGCTGCTGGTTCACCCATCAGAAAACAAGAAACATATGGAAGAGAATGCGTGAAATAAAAGCATGTCAGGAATTCTAGGTGCCCAGAAAATGGAGGCAGTGCACAGAGTCAGGGCTGTGCCAAGAACAAAAACCATTCATCATCAATCAAAAACTTTACTAATGAGACTCGAGAAGTAAAGAACGCACAAGGGAGAGAGAACCCCTAAACAAAAGCACTTTGGGGATTTCGGGTCCTCTGTATATTTGAGAGAAGCCTCCCAGACAAAAATGCAAGTTGGATAAAACAAAAAAACAGAAAATTTGGGCACCATTAACCTTATTGTTGCTGTTGTTCATTTGTTTTGGTTGTGTCCAACTCTTCATGACCCCATTTGGGGTTTTCTTGGCAAAGATAGTGGAGTAGTTTGACATTTCCTTCTCCAGCTCATTTTACAGATGAGGAAACTGAGGCAAACAAGGTTAAATGATTTGCCCAGGGTCACAAAGCTAGTAAATGGCTGAAGTTGGATTTGAACTCAGGTCCTCCTTACTCCAGGCCCAACATTCTATCCACTGTGCCACCTAGCTGCCCACTATTAACCTAATAATGGGTGATGAGGAATTTGTCAAGGGAGGTGAAAAACCTGAGCTTCCCTACAAAACTGGAAGCAATAGACTGTCCATAATTATTGACTCACATGCTTCGAAACAGTGGTGCTCGAATTACTAGCAAAATGCTAGCTTCCTCTTAAATGCAAGCCTAATCCTACCTTTTTTTTTTTAACAGAAGGAATGGCATATCTATTAGCAGAAGATGCCACTAGTGACTCCTTCAAATATAAGACATATTTTTGTACTTTATACAAAGCAGTCACTCCTTATCATTTAGAAATAACAACAACTTCATAAGCACTTATAAAAGAAAACAGTATGCTGATTGAAGAACAAAAAAAGGATTTGTTGAAGGGAGCATTTGGGAAACTATTGAACAAGCTGCCTGTGAAAGTATTGTAGCATTTATAATATCTTTGTGGATTATTGCATAGCCTTCGGTATAGTTCCTCACTCATGTTGTATTCATGTACTACAAATATAGAAGACAGACTGAAGCATAGGAGAAGTGTTAGCGTATTTGTTATTTACATAAACTGAGAAGAGTTAGACTCCTTTGGATTTACTGGATGGAACTGAAAGTCGTTCATTTCCCAGGAAAACTGATGAAACACGCAGTTGCTGGGCAGGAGCTGTCCAAGAAGGCCTGAAACGGATTGAAATATGGAGTCCAGTTTTCCTATGGGGAGGGATTGGAAATAATGGTCAGAGTATATATAAAAGAATAATAGGATAGCTAACAGACTTTCCTCAGGCTATTTTCCTTAGGGAAATCATTCTCTACTTATATCAATTCACCAAGTCAATAAGGTCAAGACCAATTGATATGAAACCTTGGAATTTCTCAGACAGTTTTCAGTTTATTTTAATTCCACCTAGACTTAAATCCATTATCATCCGTCTTAAAAAAACTAAGTATAGCATTCTAAATTAAGGAGAGAATGAAACCAAAACATTTTATTAATTACGTCATGTCCATGGATGATATAAAATTATGTTGTTCCAATGAAAACTACATTAACAGCTCTTTTGTGTCATGGAATCTTTCTTGAATGATGTCTTAATATCATATAGATTTGATAAGTGTAATATTCTTTTAATGTATCTCAAGGAAAGATAAGTGACTAAAAGCTTTGAACTTGAATCCAGTGAACACGTTGAACTGATGAATGAAGGTGATACCTACAGATACCTTGATCTCCTCTAGGCAAGACATATCAAGCATAAAGATAAAACATAAAGAGGAAACAGAGGCCAAATATGTTAAAAGCAGCACCTTTAAATCTAAGCTGAATGTGAAGAACATGTTTAAAGCAGTTAATACATATGCAACACCATTCTCAGTGTGTGCTGTGAAATGGACGATGGCAGATGTGGAAAATGTCATAACAAAAACTCGTTTGGACGATGTCAGTAAAACAGTTCAAGATGATTGTAAAAAGAGTAACACTTCCTTGGGAGAAAGGAAGAAGACTAATAGGATAGGTCTTCTTAGAGCACGTTCAGACCAAAACCTATAGAAATACTTTTGGAACAAACAGACTTCACTTCAGAAAGCAATGGTAAAAACTAAAAAGAGGTCGACTCCTTTGGATTTGCTGGATGTAACTGAAAGTCGTTTATTTCCCAGGAAAAACTCTGAATCGCACAGTGGCTGGTCAGGAACTGTCCAAAAAGGCCTGAAACGGATTGAAATATGGAGTCCAGTTTTCCTACGGAGAGGGATTGGAAATAATGGTCAGAGCATATATATAAGAATAATAGCATAGCTAACAAACTTTTCTCAAGCTATTCCAACTAAACTTCATGACAAAGATGAGAAGAATGGAAGAAAAAACAGTAATTCACAGTTGCATAATATTTTAAAATTTGCTAAACATTTTATATTTTATTTGATCCTCATAAGTATGTGTTTATTATATCCATTTTACTGATGAGGAAACTAAGGTTCAGAGAAACTAATTGACTTATACCCATGGTAACACAGGTTATAAGTGTTTGAGGCTGGATTTGAACCATGGTCTTACTGACTGTAAGGCCAGCATGCCTATCAATTATGCTCCAGTAAGTGCTTAATAAATTTTTCATTAATTTGATATATATATATGATATACATATAAATATATCAAGTTAGCTCCTATGTCTCCCAAAGTATTAAAAGAAGATTTCTTTGTAATAAGATAGTTAACTGAATGATTTCTTTTTTTGACATTATTTACCGGTAAAACTCTCATTTTTTTGCCTTGTAGATATGGCAGGACTTTATGTTTGCCTGTGCTCTTTATCCCACTGACCAGGCCTTCGTCAATTCAGTGAGAGCAGAAGTTGTTCATCAGGTATGAGCGCCAAATGAAATGCAAACTTTGTATGTTTGTCTTGGTGTTCCAGGTTCTTTTTGTTTTAGTTTTAGTTTTTTAATTTTTAATTTAATTTTTTTTTAGGCAATTGGGGTTAAGTGACTTGACCAGGATCACACAGCTAGTAAATGTCAGGTGTCTGAGGCCAGATTTGAACTCAGGTGCTCTTGACTCCAGGGCTGGTGCTCTACCCACTGCGCCACCTAACTGCCCCTCCAGGTGCTTTTAAAAAGCGTTTTATTGGTGCCTTATGTACCACAGTCATTTCTTATTATAGCCTGTTTTCCTACCAAAGTCACTGTTGTAATGGAGAAAAATAAATAAAACCAACATACAAATCCTTTGTGTGTGATAGCACATACAACATTTCTAACCCATAGGCTACCACCTCTCTATCAAGAATAAGAAAATGTATTCTTTGGGACTAAGATTAGTTATTTATTTAATGTGAATTTGACTGCCTTTAGTAATGTTTTCCTTTATATTTTATAGACTATATATTGCTCCCTTGGTTCTACTTTCTTCATTCTTCATTATTTCATACAAATCTCTCCAAGTTTCTCTGAATTCATCAGTCTTATGGTGCAATAATATTCTATCACATTCATATATCACTATTTTTTTCAGGCATTTGTTAATCAATAGACCTCCATTTTGTTTCCTGTTTTTTACTACTTCAAAAAAATGGTGTATCTAGTATTTTGGACCAGTGTTTCTCTCTTTGAACTTCTTAGGGCATATGGTCAATAGTTAGATTGCCTTTCTTTATTTTACTTTTGCTCTATTCTCTTTAAACTTCATCTCTTATTTAAAAAAAAATTAAACTATTTAGTTTAAAAAAAAAAAAGGTCTGTTGAATTAATTTTACAAGTAGACTACTAATTCTACAAATCCTCAAGGTAAAATGTGCTTCAGTCTCAGACTGTGATGGGAGATTAGATAAATGGTTTTAAAGTTTTGAACATTTTAATAATTTTTTTAAAAAAAATTGTTATACCACACAGCTTGAGAGTTTTAAACAAATTTTTGACTTCTTAGAGAATAATTAGATTGCTATCTTCTTCCATTCTTCTAGTTTATCCTCCTGTAACATGTATTATTAAAAGAGAAAAGATAATGTAGAGTTCATATTAATTTAAGGATTATTATGGGGTGGGGTAGATTGCTGATTGTCTTTTAATCTATACATGTTTGTATAAAGAACTCCCTTTGAGGAAACTCACTCCTCAGTTCATGTCAGAAACTCTTTTGTAACTTAGAATCTTAGAGTGTAGCCTGGATGCTGAAGAGTTAAGCTATTTGCCCAAATCTGACAACCATTATGTGTTATAGGTGGCTCTTAAACTCTGGCCTTCCTAACTCTGAAGTTGGTTCTCTACCCACTATGCCACTTGTTCAGCCATTTTTCAGTTGTGTCCCAACTCTGTATGACCCCATTTGGGGTTTTATTGGCAAAGAAATTGGAATGGTTTGCCATTTCCTTCTCCAGCTCATTATACAGATGAGGGAACTGAGGCAAATGGGGTTAAGTAACTTGCTCAGGGTCACACAGTTGTAAGTGTCTGAGGTTAGATTCAAACTCAGGAAGACTGGAGTCTTCCTAACCCATCCAGTTGTCTACCCACTGTGCCACCTAGCTGCCCTCGACTATGCCATAGTGCTCCTCATATCTCAGTTTAATGCATAATTATGTCTTCCATAGAGCCACTGAAGTCTTAGCTAACTGATTTTTTTTTTATTGGACTCTGTAACAACTGGCACATAATGACCGATTGGTGCATAAATACATTGAATAGTCCACTTAGGCACAGATAGATAATCAAATGAAATGGCTTTTCAGAAACTTGGTCAGACTTACACAATTAGCAGGGGAGGGTAGGATGTAGTGAGAGTTATTTTAAGAATAGGGGAGACATGGAAATGTTTATATATAGCGTGGAAAGAACAGTACACGTGAAGATTAGATAGAGAAGGTGATCGCGAGCACAGCCGGAGAAGACAGAAGGGAACGGGATTGAATGTCCGTATAGAGGAGGTGGCAAGACAAGGAGAAGGGCCACCTCTTCATCAGGGCATGGAGCAAGGGAGGAGATAGCGTGAGATTATATCAGAAGACTGTGAGTTGAGGATATGGGAAGAGGAAGCTGTCAGCTAATGGCTCCAGTTTTTTCCCATGAAGTATGAGACCGAGCCTGGGAGGTTGGGGAAAGCTGCCGCTGTGGGAGGTTTGATGAGGCGGGAAGAGGTTTGGAACAGAAGCTGTGGAAAATAGATGGAGAATCGATTAGGGAAGCATGGAAGGAGTCCTGGCTAATCTCACACGGTGAGATTAGATAACACAGAATCGTAGTGGACTCGTCAGCGGGGTTTCATGACTCCTTCCAGCTCGCTTCTGTAACGCAGGCTGTCACCAAGTGTATCGTTATGGTCTTTGCAGCTTGGACTTGCACTCTTAAGGGGCACCTACCTCCTCACTTTAGTGGTGGTATCTGAAGTGTGTTGTCATCAGTGACATGCATTTAATGGGCGGCCCATCGTGTTAGTCCATCAGGATGAAGAGCTGGGATAGGAACCACGTAAGGACAGTGACTGGGCATAGGAGCAGGAGCAGAAGCTGGACTGTATCTGGAAGGTTGGGTAATGCTTTCAGTGATCCCACACTCCTCTGCCACATACAAACCCACCTTTCAAAGAGCAGCATTTTTCTGGTGACGCTACCTGGCTGCAAATCTGTGATCGCCCAACCACCTTAATTTCGGGTGACAACCCAGAGCTGTTCAAAGAAGGAAGCTTCACATTTTCTTGTCTTTTGCACTTGAAAAAAATGGTCTTTTTTTTCTTAAATTTCAGATCAGAAGATTGAAATCTCACCCATCCGTCATCATATGGAGTGGTAACAATGAAAATGAGGCTGCTTTGGCAGAGAACTGGTTTTTTGTGCCACCCAGTAAATTCCAAATCTATGCCAGAGACTACGTGACTTTGTATGTGAAAAATATCAGAGAAATTGTCCTGGCAGTAAGTAGCACTTAAGTGGATTTAGGAATGAATTTCTAAATGAATCAATGAGTTAATGTCTCTTTAGCAAGACAACTTTTAGGATGCTTTTTTTTCCCCCAGGACTTTCTTTTTCCTTTGCTGTTGCTGCGTCGTGTGTGTAGACTTTAGGGAGGTCATTGTAGCGCTTCAGGCCATTATTGTGGGGAAGAGGGAGAAAAGTGACTTATTAATACTATTATTAACTAGTTCTGGTCAACTTGGCTAAGTCACAACTTTTGAAGGCCTCGAGTTTCTTATCTTAAAAGATGGTAGCTTGGATGAGATAATTTCTAATGTTCCTTCCAACTCTAACATTCTGTGCCTTTAAACAAGGACATTAGACATCAGCATATTGGTATATTTTTCACTGCAATGGAAAAGTGTGTTATATGACCGGAAAAAAGAGGTGGGCCAGTAATATAGTGAGAAAGAGGAGTAATAAAATCTGACACTTGATGACGTTGTAAAGTTTGTAAAGACCTTTACATTATCTGTGATCTGGCTTGGGCTTCACAACAACCCTATATGGTAGGTACAAATATATTTTACCTCTGTTTTTCTGAGGAGGAAACTGAAGCTCTCTTGCCCTCTGTATCCAATCTGTTTCCAAGGCCTGGTGATTTCATCTTCGCAAGGACTCTTTGAATATGCCTCTTCTCTCCAATGACGCCACCACTCTGGTATAGGCCTTGGTCACCTCACTCCTGGACAGAGTAGTGTGCTGGTGGGTCTGCTGCCTCAAGTTTCTCCCCACTCCAACCCATCCTCCGTTCAGCTTCTAAAGTGATTTTCCTCAAACTCATGTCTGACCCTCCTCCCAACAAGTTGCTAACATAAAAAATGAAAAATGAGAATTGACTACAAATGAACAGGAAATAAAGGAAATTAATAGAAATTATTTTACCCAGGTATAGGCTCAACAAAACTGATAAATGAAATGGTTTAATATTTACAAAAATGTGAAATCTTCAGATTAACAGAATGAAAGTGGAGATTTTTAAATAACCCAATCTCAGATAAATTGAATAAGGAACTCCCAAATTAAAAAAAAAAAACCCAGGACAAGGTGACTTTACAAGTGAATTCTATGGAACATTCAGCAAACATCAGTTCCAATGTTACATAAATTATTTGGGACAAAAAAAGAGTAAGAAGGGATTTGTAGGAAGAGCAGCAACTTGTTTTATATAGGCTCGACTGGCCTTTTAAAAGGGTGGGGAGGCCGTGTGGCTTCCTTGCCTCCAGAGGCATAAAAAATTCAACCTATGAGGAATTACTGTCCAGGCTTTTATAAAGTATTCCTCTTGCCCCGTGAGGAATGCCTTTTTGACATAGCATGGCTGGTTGTCATGGTGCATGCAGAGGATTATGGGAATAGCTGTGTTATCTGAATTACTATCTTTTTAACCTTAGGGATTACATATTTTTTTTATCTCTTTCTATTAAATGAAGTCATTTTTGTTGCATTTTATAGTTCACAAGTGTCTCATTGCATTCTAACATTCAGCCTGAACCCTTGGACTGGCCTGTATTCTTGGCTGGCCAAGAATATTTGGCCTTGTGGGCAGTGGAGGGTTTGCAATGGTTCTGTAGTAAATTTATTGTTCAAGTGGAGAAGAGATTTTGCAGAAGAATGGGAGCCTCAGGTGGTTGGATGGCTAGAGATAGGACATTGCTGCACTGTTGTTTAGGGTGTATAGGAAACCCCCTCATTGGGGTAAGAAAGAGAAATCTCCCTTTTACCCTGTAGGGTTACTCCTTGCTTGCTTACCTTGAAAAGAAAATGAAAAAAAAAAAATAAAGTCAACTATTCATGGCATTGACTGATGGTTTTAAAAAGAAGAATGAAGATAAATTGTCCCTGTGTATTAGGCAGTTAGGGCAGTTAGGTGGTGCAGTGGATAGTGTCAGGCTTGGAGTCAGGAAGACTCACCCTCTTGAGTTCAAATCTGATCTCAGATACTTAATAGCTCTGTGACCCTGGGCAAGTCACTTCACTCTGTTTACCTCCTTTTCCTCATCTGTAAAATGATCTGCAGAAGGAAATAGCAAATTACTGCAGTATCTTTGCCAAGAAAACCCCAGATGGGATCACAAAGAGTCAGACTGGGCTGAAACAAATAAATTACAATTAGGCAATTGGAGGCAAAGATGAATGAGCTTTTGGTCTTTAAGGGCCATGTCCTAAAGGCAAGGGGTGTGGGGGGGGTAGCTTATGGCTTTAGTAATAGCATAGGTGAAAAGGGCCAAGCTACTAGGGGCTCCAGATAGAATGTCAGTCAGCTAGCCTTTATTAAATACCCACTATGGGCCAGGCACGGTTCCAAGGGGATATAAAGAAAGGGTAAAGAACCATCTTTTATTTCCCTGTTCTCCTGGGCATTTAATGTATGATCTCCGACCCAGAGGTTTCCTTGGAGAATGTGAGATTGGGGCTGGGAGGAAAGAGAATAGGAACAGGAGTAATAAGGATTGGGAAACCATTCCAGTAGTAAGGAAGCTTCCAGTTTTCTCATGAATACCACCATCATATGAGAATCATAGGAGCGCCATTTTCTATTGGGCAGTCAGAGGGTGGACAGGCCTTTACCATCAAGGAATGGGGGTAGTTGCAGGAGAAATGTAAACAGCAAGCTAATGATTCATTTGGACCATGGCTACTAAAATTATTTAATGGGAGCAGTTTTGATGGTTGCAAAGTTCCATCTGCTTAGAGAGTTAGCAGAGAATTTGCTCTTGAAAGCTGACTAAATCAGCTAGAAAATCTAAATGGAGACTCCCTTTTTTTTTCTTTTTTGGGGTTCCTAAAAAGGAGAGTTTGCATTCTTCGCCCCATAGCCATTACTAACTCTGTCCCTAGGTAGCAGATTCCTTGGAGGGGAGCAGCAAAAAGGAGGGGATGAAATTGAACTGAATTTGAGAACTCTTTACTCCCTATGCCTGCTTTGTATATAGTTAGAGCCTGCCTTTTGGGCAGATAAGCAGTCTTTAGGTGTGGGCTTTACCCTCCAGATCATCATAAAGGTCTGGGCCACTAAAACTTCTGAAATTTGTTCAGTAGATCGGGTCAACTCAACCAATTCTTTGGGTGAATACAGTTGTCTGCAGAAATAGATGCCCAGGGCATGGTGAAAGAAAGCATGTTGTTGGGTTTGAGGGTGATGATATTTAAGAAGCTTTAGACATGTAATTTGAGCATGAGGTAGACATGATTAATGATCAGTCTATAGGAATTATAGTGAAATTGTATTGTGACGTCTGGGACTAGAGAAGTAAGGGTTCTTTTGTCCTGCCATTCCCCTACCCTTGTTCTTCAAAGTCGTCCAGGTATCCAGATTTGAGAGACTCTTGGGATGAATCCTCTTGGGGCAAGGTCCAACGCAGGGGTGGGGAACCTGCGGCCTCGAGGTTCCATGTGGCCCTCTAGATCCTCAGGTGCAGCTGTTTGATTTAATCCAAACTTCATAGAACAAATCCCCTTAATAAAATGATTTTTTTGTAAAACTTGGATTCAGTCAAAAGGCCGCACCCGATGACCTAGAAGGCCACAAGTGGCCTCGAGGCCGCAGGTTCCCCACTCCTGGTCCAAGATTTCTCTAAGGCTTAGGGTGTTCTTATTGCCAGAGTACAGACATTCTGTTCTCTGTATGCCTGAGTCGACTGTAGTTTAGAAGACCACAGAGGAGAGGAGTATCCTTTCTTGAGTAGAGGTGAATGGAAGACCTCTTGTGTGGGTCTCATTTGTATTGAATAATCAGAGGAAATGTATTGGGTACATGGATATTGTGAGTTCTAGAAAATAAGCACCTATATGGTTCCTTATGGTATACTGTCTCCCACTTAATTTAAATAGGGCTAAATGGAAACTCCTTTCCCATGTAGCTAAACAGTACTGGTTCCTGGGCATGTGTGTGCAAGCTATTTCCTTCCTAGTAATGGAGATGAAAGAAGCTGGAGCAGTACAAATTCTCTTTATCATAACTTTGTATGACTGATGAAGATGGCGGGCGGTACTTAGTAATTTAGAGAAAATTATGGGAGCTGGATAAAGTTGTGATGGTGATTTCTTTAGCCATTCCTTACCTTATCAATATGTTAGACCAGGTATCCCAAACCCTGGTCTAATATTATGGAGTTTGTTGGACAATGCATTTTCTTCTCTCTTCCTGTGGCTAAGACTAGTTAGGAATAGTTTTGTTTTACCTGGGAAGGAGCTCAGTATACATTCACCATCCTTTCTTGGGGTTATTTAAATTCTCCTTGATATTGCCACTGTTTGGTGGGGAGTGAGGTCCTACTTTCTAAGATCATTGATTTTGATCACTCTGTTAATTATGTAATGTTGATTTGGTCAACTGAGACCACAGTGGCAAAGGAGTTAGATAGCATGGTGGTTCATATGAGAGACAAAGGATGGGAGATGGACCCTATGAAGATTCATAATCAAGTCTGCTCAGTTAAATTCGGTGATACACTGGATGAGAAGAATCCAGATGACTACAGATGTAGTTTGTAATAACTTCCTGGTACTCCCCCATTGTCTAAAAGGAAGCTCCTATCTTCTGGGAATTGTGGAGAAATGGTGGCACATTTAGGACAGAGAGGAGCCAAAATCTCATACAGACATTCCAGGAAAAACTCTAAAAATGTACCAGAAGTAATAATTATTGAAAATGAAACAAAACAAAAGAGAAACTACTATAAGCTCTTCCACCCAATCTAGGACTGTAGAAAAAGACTATTAGAATCCTGTGGAAGCTTTGAGTAGAGACAAGGCTGGCCAGGCAGAAGCCAAAGCATGGTGTAGGAATGCATTAATCTCAAGAAGAAAATGGTGTGGTGAGGAGGAAAGGTCAGGAAAGAGAAAATTTTTAAGGGTTAGGGGGGAGGCTTTAAGATGGAAAGCAGGATAGGTAAAATAGTAGTTACAGGCAAAACAAACTCCAGCATTGGAGGGTTGGAGGATTATTAAAAAGAAA